CTATAAACCAAGATGCAGCTTTGCAGGAATTGTACATGATTTATAGAACAGAACTTTATTATTTAAACAGTTTGCAGTGGTCCAAAAGTTATTCCCCACTTACTTTAAGCATTCAGAGCCTCCTAATTATTCACCACGAAGAGTTTATAAGTGCTTTTGACAACTTTCAGAGGTCAGACAGTTTTACCGGAATTGCTAAAAAACATCAGCATGGTATCAGTGCACTTCCTGATTCTCTGAGCTTGATAAGTTGTCTCGTTTTGACCCCAAGAGATTCTTTCTTTTTACAATAAATATATCTGTACTGGGATAACACATTTTGCTCTGAATACAAGGAAAATCAGCAAATCCAAAACATTAGCATTGTAACAGTGCACTTCCTGATTCTCAAGGCTTCATACGAGGTCTTCATTTTTACCTGAAGAGCTGATTTTACAATATATCTGTACTGAGATAACACAAATTTTGCTCAGCTACAAAAAAAACACTTTAAGTTCAGTGCAAGGACAATGCTATTATTGCCAGCAGAGGGCGCATTCAGGTCAAATAAAGTCAATTTTTATGGGTGCTTTAAAAGTTCACTCAGACTATTGTATTCCATTACACATCCAGCATCTAAATGCCACTGGGACATTTAGTGTACGGCACACAGATATTCAGATCACTGCTGTTCTCAATCTTCTGCGGACTTCTCCTTTAACAAGATTAGCTATAACTAGATCAATTCCGGTAAAAGTTGATTTGATGGAATTTTTAAAAAGTCTTCCTGACCTATTAGAACAGAGCCAGTGCATTAAAGTTCATAGTTTACTTTTGCAGTTACATTTTATTATGTCGATGGTAATAGTACAGTTACTATTATTATACCAGCCTATTACCATGTGTCAGTGAGATGTAAAAAAAGTAGTGTAGTAAAGTAATGTAATATCATGTGAGAACTATGACAAAAAGGAAACTGACCAGCTCCGTATTCTCAGTGGGTACATAATATTAACTTCATTATGTTGTTTTTAAAAATGTCTATTGGAGTAAATGTGAAATGAATGAATAAGCTAAAAGACGCCACTGAAACTGCGTAACATAACTGGATTTATTGTCGGATAACTGGAATTTATTGTTTATTTCAATAGGCATAGACAGATACACAAACACAGATCAACAATTCACTTCTCTGATGCAGGTATAATATAGCCAAGCTAGTGCCACCTAGTGCCTCTGCTCAATTTCATTTCTCGCCAGCAACTAGGTCAGAAATCAAAATACACTAGACCATTTGCAAGAACCCTGGAAGTTGTAGACCGCACACCGGCCAATCAGTGAAGAGCTGTGAAGCCATGACGTCAAACTCAAGCGCCTGTCTGGGTCTCTTTTGTGGTACAGTGCAATAGTAAACAAAGAGGTCGAGATGGATGTAGACGAAGACATACATTCTGTGTTGGCAATGATTCCCGAGATTGAGGATTTAAAGACCGAACAAAGAGAATGTTTAGTGAATTTTATCAAGGGGAAAGATGTTACTGCCCTTCTTCCTACAGGATTTGGTGCATTACATATGTCACAACCAAATAACAGTGATTGGTTAAATAAAAAAGTACCCACCTACAGTCAAGTGAACGAATCCTAATGCTTTGAGGTCAGACGGTTTCCACGAAGTGAAACCAGCTGATGAATCAGGTTAAGTATAATAAGGGTAATTCACACAATCCACACCACCATGTAGCCTGGAACTGGTTACATGCTGCTTCTTCTGACATTCCGCTATTTGGACACTGACGTCTAATTGTCAGACAAACATTATTTTTCAAGCGTCCTACTACTTCAACATGTTTTTTCCATTGTTGGAGAAGCAACATTTACTATTTTTTAAACATTCCGCTTTTCCGTCATGAATAATATTAATGTGATAGCCTATTATTAGGGATGTAACAATAACTGTATCGTCAAAGTTCTCACAATAATATCATGGACCCTCATAATATATCGAATTATAAGTCTCTTTGCTTGAATTAAAAGTTATGGTGCAGCATTAGTTAAAAAAAGACATAGAACTACATAGACCATGATCCTTCACTCTATTTCAATGTAGACTACATGAAGAAATAACAGTTCTAAGCACTTTTAAGTCTTAGTTCTTTGGATTAAATCTTGTCGAGGCATTTTAAAAGGAAAAAGTAACATATTAACAGTTTTGTTTGCCTCCAGAAAATATTGCAATAAATATCTTACCATGAGATGTATATCGAGAAAATATCATACAAAGAGATTTGGATATTGTTACATCCCTAATCGTGAGCTTTCCCACGATATTGCAATAAATATCGTACTGTGAGGTTCATACCGTGACGATATTATATCGTGAGACTTGGATATCGTTACACCCCTACCTATTTTACTTTGCACTCCCATATATCATAAGTTGCTTGGGCCAGTGCAAAGTACTTGATCTGAGAATACTTTGGCCACAGAGGATATCAGACAGTGGAAAAACCTAAAAACTGATAGCCGTGGGAAACAGTCTTGCATTTTAAAAAAGAATCAGTCATGCATTTTACAAAGAAGCCTTCAGGACAATACCTCATCTAAAAGGGAGGCTGCATGGGCCTTTGTGTTTCATTCATTTGGTCATGTAGGCGATCTGCAGAGAACACCATAAAGCCTAAATAAATAACCAGTCAAGTTCATTGCGGCAGCTCAGTGAGATGACCCTCTCGCAGCACAAAACACACACACATGATGAGTTGGAATAGCGATAATAAAAGTGTCGGAAAACCGGCACGTGTAAATAGAAGAATGTTGTAATGAAGGTATGTCGGAACTGACCTGGAATTGAACCTGTGTTACCAGTGTTTTAACCTGGAGATAGAGACACATCCAAGTTTCTCTCATTCTCAGTTTATGGACAGGTTCATGTGGAAGCTCAGAACCTCCAGAACTCACTGAGACTGATATGGTGCTCATTCTGCTTTCTGAGAACCTTGAGAACCAAAGCAATAAATTATAACATAAGAAACCTGGTCATCATTTCCTATGGCTTTTTAAATTTAGAATAAATCAGCATCACGAATCTAAAACATGTTTACCTTGTATATGAGGACAAAGATAGGTCAAGTTTAAGGAATTTAAAATGCAAATTCTTACATACACTTCCTTTAAATGCAAGGTTTGGTGAATAAAGTTGTTGCAAATAGTCTAAATTATTTAATACAGACTAACTGAAGTAATAAGTTGAAGTAATTGAAGTAATAAGTTGAGCTCAAGCTTGTGATCATGTTCTTTTCTCTCATCTACATTCGGGTCTGTCTGCTGTGCTTATAAGCCTCTATTTCTCCCTGTTCCTCACAGTTTCTCTCCCGGTTTCTCTCCCAGTTTCTCTCCCAGTTTCTCTCCCAGTTTCTCTCCCCAGTTCTCTCCCAGGTTCTCTCCAGGTTTCTCTCCCAGGTTCTCTCCCAGGTTCTCTCCAGGTTTCTGTCCCGGTTTGACCCCGTTTCTCTCTCGGTTCCTCTCCCTTTCTCCCCGTTTCTCCCGATTTCTCCCTGTTTCTCCTTTCTTCTCCCCCCTGTTCCTCCCAGTGTGTTGGTGTATGGTGTGAGGCTGGACTCATTCATGACAGTTCTACTAATGAGCCTAAATCTAAAGCTCTGGAGCTCTGTGGCATCTTAAGTCCGTCCCTCTGGCTCTGCACCAGCCCAGTGTTACACAACAGCTCCTGCAGGGCCTCTCCAAACTGTCACAATGTTTGGAGCGTTAAACAGACTTAAGAGCAGCTTAAAGGAGCACCCAGGAACATTTGTGATGGAGAGCCTGCCACACGCTTGTTTATGGCATTGATATACTTTGCACTTCATGTCATCAACATTCCTCGGGCTGTGAGGCTAACTGAAAGTACTGCTGTGTTAGAAACTCTGTTACTCAAATTACACTTAATCTGAGCTTTGCTTTAACACAATGTGACAAGAGTTGATTTACTTGGAACTACAACAGGTGAGCTGATCTCATGTGAAAAAAATACATTGTTTTTTTTTGTTTTAAGACTGTGTTTAAACATTTTTGTCAGTGTTTGCTACTGTGTCACACATTGTGACTCTTAAACCTTCCGCCAGTAGACATGCATGTAGAACACCCCCAGCATGATGTCATTGCAAAGTATCAACTGTGGGACATTTCACATTTCTTTCACCTTTAATATATTGCAAAAGTGGCATTATCAGTGTGAAGAAGTGAGGAGTGCGGTGCTGTGCCAAGATTCCGTGCGACGACCGTAGTTATGCGAGAAGTCACGTGGTTCGGAGGGACATAGTCAAGGCGGGGCCCACTTGTTGTCAAGGCGGCCACCTTAACTCTAAAGTGCTGCAGCAAAACACTGATAATGACATGTGTTTGTCAGATACTGGGCCCAGTCAAGCAGAAGTAAACAGCAAGGCCAAAAATTCAAGTTAATGCATCTGATATAAAAATGTATTGAACAGATACATATGTACTCTAGTTTATGACACTGTTGACCTTTTTTCTCTACCATTTTTGGTTCTAAAGTTCCATATGTTTTAAACAGACCATGTATGAAACATGGAACTAAAATTATTTCCCAAATTTCAAAGACCTGCAAATCATGTAAATAAATGGATGTATTTCATCATATCTTGTGTTATTCCATCTTTGAACTGTTGATGAAAGTACATGATTTTTCAAAATGTATTTAAAATGATAAAAATTTCCTTGGAAAGATTTTATAGATATAGTTTCCTTTCATTTTGAAGTAATATTAAAGTATTCGGAAGAAAAAAGCTGACAAATTATGCAAAATCCTGCACCTTCTACTTGTTTGCACAATTTTCCCTCCGTTACTTTTCCCTCCGTTACCATGACCTTTCTTAATAAAAAATCTCATTACTCAAAAAGTAAGAGGTTTTTCAGCCTAATCTTGTACCATATGGTAGTGTTAGGTATCCTCAAAAAAAAACATTCAGCGTGTTCTCTTAAAAATGACCACTGGAATCGATCGATTAAAATCAAAAATAATTTATTCCCTATACAATACAATTCTAATACAGAGCTCTGGGTCAGATCGTTGTCCCTAACTGCCTACAAAGTTACATAGGGCTTACATCAGGCATCTGACCCCTTCTGAATACTTCAACACAGTTTTTATAAACATCCATATGAATATGCATATAATATGTTGAGCAGGTTCCCGCCTTGAATCGTCGCCTTGAAGTGTCAGCATTTCTTCTTTGGGGGAAGTGACAACCCCCTCCTAACCATTGTAAATCACACCAAGTCTGTTTAGATAAGCCAGTTGGTTATCTCCATGGTCCCAGTTCTGCAAAGGAATTTGCTTAGAAGCACATAGGTTACCCATTATGTAGGAAACACAATGGTACTGTTCAACAGATAAGATCTCAATGTTTAAGCTTCAACTCAATGTGTAACTTCATTAACCAATATTCAAACCACCACTTGATAGAGCCTTCAGTAGAAAACTATATGAAGCAAATATTCAAACCAGTTTGTTAAGGATATGGAAGTGAGAACCGCTAGTTATCACTGTTTGGATTTATTGCTCAAAAAGTGCTGCATATTTCATTCCCTCCGTTACCGACATGAGTTTTTTAAATTTTTTGTCAACAACTTGAAAGAATATCACAGGTTTAACTTGACCCTGTTGGAGTGTAACTCTTTCCTACATTCTGATACTTTACTTATTTCAATAGTCCCTCTAGTTTCTGAATAAAAGCTATTTGAATGTAAAAAATCTGCCCGTTTCCCTCCGTTACCGCTTGACCGGACCCTATTGTAAGCCATGTTTGTTCTGAGAAAATTGAGCTATCTTGAACGTTAATTAAAATAAATACATAATATCTCAATTCTGTATTATCATGACTACAATTACTCAGTGTTTTCATGATACTAACATTCTTTCTGAACATTTCAAATTCAATTTCGATACTAAGGAATAAACTTGATACTCAATACTCATTCTGATATCCAAATGATTAAACAAAACAAAACAAAACAGAATAGAATGCTATTTTTAAGCAGGTATTAATATTACTAGAGATGTAACAATATCCAAATCTCTCTGTACGATATTATCACGATATGCATCTCACGGTACGATATTTATTACGATATTTTGGAGAGGCTGATATAATTGTAGATAGGAGACTTTTTTGTTTTTAAAATACCTTGACAAGATTTTGGTGTGAATTATTTCCAGCATAATCCCAAGAATTCAAGTAAAAAACATATCTCTTCATGTTGTCTGCACTGAAATGAATCATGGGATATGTAGTTCCAGATGTTTATAAGCTGTTGCTACTACAAAACCATGCATTTAAGCAAAGGAACTTGTAATTCGATATATTGTGACAACCCATGAAATTATTGTGAGACTTTTGACAACACGATATCACGATATTTCAGTTATTGTTACATTGTTAAAGTCACATTAAGAGGACAGAAATGAAGCTTTCCTGAATAGTTTTAGAATGATCTTGAGCTGCATCAGAACAAGTATAACAGCAAATAAAATACAAATATACAATTACACAGATATAAGGTAATGGTAATATTAAAGTACTATGATTTAAAGTTGAAACTCACATTCTATTGTCTAAAGAAAAAAGTGTTTTTCATTACCACTGTGGCAATCTGCATTCAGTATCAAGTCTATTCCTTAGTATTAATATCAAATTTCAAGTTCTTGCCTTGTGACAGCACTAATATGGTGACAGAGTTCCACTTTTTCCACATCTGTTATTTACAATCATAACCAAATCCCAATAAAAGCTCATCCCAAACATTTTAAATTCCAAATAAGCAACAACTAGCACGCCAGGACAAAGCAGCCATTGAAAAGACTTAAGCCCCATTGAGATGCAGCCTGTAGCGCGCCCTGTGTGGGTCGTATAATGAGTAATCAATCAGGGTTATGTAATGGGCAGTGCATGTGCATGTGAATCAGAAAGGGTAGTGGAGAAAAACGAACCCGGGACATGTGGGCCTGGGAATCACAGGGTCCCTCACGATTCAATACGAAAACGAAAATTTGTTTGTTTGAACCACCACCTGTGCAAAGTTCATATGAAATACATCTATTTTAATCATCAAAACAGTGAATATGTCAATTGTGTTGTTTGCGTCCACTAAAGAAGGAGCAAAATTATCATGCAGTCGCAAAAATAATTGCTAAAAGACACCAGAAAAATAGTCTTGCCGATATATCGATACAAGCAGCCCATGATAACAATGCGGAACCACCAAATTTTCTATCACGATATGTCGATTTCAATATTTTTGCAGGGGTCTAACGCCTATTCCGATATCCCAACATCCTTACGACATGTCTCTATTTAGACGTGCCAGTTTTCCGACACTTTTTAGGGTTTTTTTGAGAGTTGCGATGGTCTACCCAAGTGCATTTCTCGTTGTTCTTCGATGTTTTTAATCACAAAAACTAATAAATGAAGTACAAAGAGCTTCATTCATTTCGCCTCCGTTTTAGATGAGATATTTTCCCAAAGGCCTATGCTCTTTTTTAAAATGCATGACCTTTTTCCCGTGGCGATCAGTTCGGAGATTTTCCCACCGTCTGATATCCTGTGTGACCTAAGTATTCTAAGTATACGTAAGCAAAGTGTAATAGGCCATCAAACTAATATTATTCATGTCGAAAAAGAGGAATGTTTGAAAAATAGTAAAGTGCAGCTATTCCGATAATAAAAAAATAATGGTGAAGTAGTGAGACGCTTGAAAAATAATGTTTATGCCGCTACTCTGACAATTAGACGTCAATATCTAAATAGCGATATGTCGAAACAGCAGCGTGGAACCGTTTTTGCACACCACCGCTGACTAAAGTGGAGTTCAAAACCTCAGTGGAAGTTTGACGGAGGCTAACGGCTACTGTGCAGTGTTAATCAGGGTCAGAGATATGGCGCAGACACACTGTTGAGTGTGCAGTGCTCTGTGTGTGCTTGTTCCTCTTGATAAGGACACTATCTTAAAATTACAATGATTCTTGTGCAATATGTGTAATGAGTATATCAGTTAGTTAATACAACAGTCTAACAGTCCCTCGTAACAAGATTGACAGTTACAGATTTCATAGTTGGACTTTGAGATTTTTATGAGTAGTAATGGTCTGATATTGATTTTTTTGGAGTGGACACGATAACCGTTAATATACTGGTATTAAGCTTTTAAAGTCTATAGTCCAGGCAAAATTTATGTTAAGATATCAAGAAGTTTACAACTAGCTTTGTGAAAATATATATAAAATGTATTTATCTGGGATAGAAATACATTATTTATAGACCAGAGGGGTGCAGGGTTCTCACTTTTTCACTGATAAAATTTCAAAACTTTTTCATTACTTTTTCATGACCTAAACTGAATTTTCCATGACTTTACGGCACCTGTGCAGAATGTGTAGAACTGATCAGACTTTTAGGGCTAAATATGAAATGTTAAGCCTTTCCATTCACTTTATGGTTTGGGATTATAATTTTTTAACATTCAAAATACGTTATTGTTGTCTTTTTTAAAGAAAAGGCGCATACATTCAGAAATAATCATAATAGCCAAATGAGAACTTAACAGAACGCTGTAGTTGCATGAAAAGGATACTAAAATTACATGACTTGGAAGATGACATTTTCAGACTTTGGATTTCCATTTGCCCATTCAAAAGATATTTTTTTTTTGAATTTATTTGTAATTTATTAATTAACAGCAACGCTCCCAACTTTTCATCATCCATCAGAAATTCATGTTTTTAAACCAAAGACTGTATAAAGAAGTGGACTAAGGGAGTGTGACATCACCCATAGCATTCGGCTCTAGTCAAATGAAGCTCATCGAGGCTGGAGGTTATAGGGGCGAATATGAAGCCAGTTCAAAATACTGAAATAAAAAACACCAGGATCATGTAGAGCGGGTTAATTCGAGCAATGCAGCTGTAACAAAGAAAGGAGTGACAATTTTACAAGTCAGCTGGAACCAGAGTTGGTGGAGCCAGAAACGCCCCCATGCTCACTTCCCATTTGGAATGCGACAGGCTATCAGGTCATTTATGTCCATTTATAAACACAGTCTACGATTTAAACCGATAAATTGGACACACTCTCATCTTCATTACAAAGCGTCTCCTCGCTGTGTCTTATCTGGGTCTGTCGTCATGGCGATGAAGCACTAAGGGAAGCATACGTCCGCCGCAGTAACAGTACTTTCTAATCTCCATACTCAGACCTGATTAAACACGCGACCTTTACAACATCTACTACTGCTGTTTGCTCAGAACATGGAGGCAACTGTAATTACAGGCTCCGCGGTATTCAAATGCCAGAGAAATACGCAAACTGTGTACAAGTGACTGTGTACCAGCGAGCGCACGAAGAAAACAGGTACTTCTATTGTGCTAACTTTAATAGGGCCAAAGATGAAAGGTTGTAGGTTCAATTATTCCACGTTATGCTCATATTCAGTCACTAGTTGGAGTTGAATGAAATGAGACAGGCAGAAACAAATGTACGAATCTATTGATAAGCACAAATATCAATCTGTGCTGTGTATAGAGTTGTGATTCCAGTGCCCACAGATGAACGCTGTTGTTGTGTCCTTGGGCAAGACACTTAACTCACTTCACCTCTAGTGTCTGTGTACACGGATGAGGATGTTTTTGTTTTTTTTTTATGTAAAGCGCTTTCAGCCTTGAAGGTGGAAAAACGCTGCATAAAATTGTGACCATGATTTACTTTGACTTTTCTAGGCGTCTGCAGGTTTTGAATTTTGACGCAAATATTTTTTTTACTTCATTTTCTTATTTTGGGGCTACAGTTTTTATTGGACAGGACAGATTTAAATGTGAAATGAGGTTGAAGAGTGAGGAGAGACATTAATTAAACTGTCGGGAAGAGGTAAAGATGTAGTTTTTCATTTCATCTCTCCATGAAGATGTTATTGCTAGGGCTGGGTATCATTAAGAAGTTGCCGATACGATACATAAGCCACGATACGATATTTATCTCGATGCAGTGAGCTTTCGATTTGTTACAATATATTTCAAATCGATATTAATGTGGTTCAGTGAAAAATATGGCAAAATCATGGCTGTGATACTAAAAGTTAAACCATTATTTGTGCAAAGTGAATTTGAAACACATCCATTTTAATCATCAAAAGAGTGAATGTCAAATGTGTCGCATAAATGAATTTCCTTCCTCTAAACAAACAACAAAACTGTAGCTCTGTAGCAAAATAATTTAGTAAAATATACCAAAAACATTCTTGGTGATATATCGATACAGTAGCCCATGATAT